TCAGATCACAAAATGGTGGACAATCACACAATACTGGGAATCATGACCTAGCCAAGCTGACACACACTTTTGGGGGACACAATTGTATCCATAACAGCTGGTTTTTAATTTACGCAGTTGTGGTGTTTTAGATGAGGAACAACTCAATTTTCATACAGATTAATGATGAATGTCATATCTTATCACCAGAGGTTTTGGCATCCAGTTTTGTCTGTTGCAAGAGCATGTGTTATTTATAAGCAAAAGAAAGGTGAGGATAGTTCCTTCCTTGGCAGTCATAATTTCAATGAGTGGATCATGCTCTTTGAACAGGACTATGGGGTGGGGGTGGGGCAAGCAGGCCATACAGCATGACCTTCAAGTGTGAGGGGGCTTCCATTTCTGGCTGCAGATCAATGACAGGCTTGTGCAGAGGAATAAGGGAGGCCTGTCGCTATGAGTTGGAACCCACTTGACAGCAATGGGTTTAGTTTTTTTTGGTCTCAGATACTGATCCCAGTTGAAATCTGTCACCTTTTGGCTGGCTAAATTGAGGACAGGCAGAGGGATTGAAGCCCGAGGACTTTTTTCAGATTCTGGAAGGTTGGATCTTCGGGGCTCTGGAGGGTCTGCAGTTGAGGAGCTGTTGCACGTGGCCTCAGGGTTCAGGTGGTGGTTTTTGTTTGTGTATGTCCTTGCTTCTCCTCCTTGGGCTCCTCCCTGTTTGATGCAGTTTCCTCTTCTGTGTGTGTCTCTCTGCCTCTGCCTGTCACCTGACCCTTCTCCTCCTGGGACCACTGTGCCTGCCCCACTCTCCCCACAGTGAGCAGGTACACCCAGAAGCTGCGGCATCACCTGGGCCATGACTCCAAATTCGTCCTGTGCTACGGCCAGAAGGAGGAGCTGCTGCTGGACGAGGTGTACACAGACACTGTTATGGAGCTGGTCGGCTTCACCAACGAGAGCCTGGGCCGTCTGGACAGCCTGGCCAGCCTCCTGGACCACTCCACGGGCGTCCTCAATGAGCAGGGTGAGACCTTGTTCGTGGCTGGTGATGCTGGTGTGGGCAAGTCCATGCTGCTGCGGCGACTGCAGGGCCTCTGGGCCTCCGGCCAGCTGGACACTGGCATCAAGTTCTTCTTCCACTTCCGCTGCCGCATGTTCAGCTGCTTCAAGGACAGCGATGCACTGTGTCTGCAGGACCTGCTCTTCAAGCACTACTGCTACCCGGAGCAGGACCCCAAGGAGGTGTTCGCCTTCCTGCTGCGCTTCCCCCACACAGCCCTCTTCACCTTCGATGGCCTGGACGAGCTCCACTCGGATTTTGACCTGAGCAGCGTGCCCGACACCTCCTCCCCCTTGGAGCCCGCCCACCCCCTTGTCCTGCTGGCCAACTTGCTCAGTGGGAAGCTGCTCAAGGGGGCCACCAAGCTGCTCACGGCCCGCACAGGCATTGAGATACCGCGCCAGCTCCTTAGGAAGAAGGTGTTTCTGCGAGGCTTCTCCCCCAGCCACCTGCAGGCCTACACCCGGCGGATGTTCCCCGATCGCGCGCTGCAGGTCTGCCTGCTGGACCAGCTGGAAGCCAACCCTAACCTCTGCAGCCTGTGCACGGTGCCCCTCTTCTGCTGGATCATCTTCCGCTGCTTCCAGCATTTCCATGCCACCTTCGACTCCACCCTGCAACTGCCCGACTGCAAGGTGACACTGACCGACGTCTTCCTGCTGGTCACTGAGGTCCACCTGAACAGGATGCAACCCACGAGCCTGGTGCAGCGGAACACGCGGAGCCAGTCGGAGGCCTTCCGCTCCGGTCAGGGGCTGCTGCACTCGCTGGGCCAGGTGGCCCACTGGGGCATGGAGAAGAGCCTGTTTGTCTTTAGCCAGGAGCAGGTGCACGCCTCTGAGATGCAGGAGGAGGACCTGCAGCTGGGCTTCCTACGGGCCGTGCCCGAGCTGGGCCCCGAAGGGGAGCAGCCGTCCTACGAGTTTTTCCACATCACCCTCCAGGCCTTCTTTACAGCCTTCTTCCTCGTGGTGGATGACAAGGTGGGCACAGAGGAGCTGCTCAGGTTCTTCCAGGAGTGGGCGCCTCCTGGGGAGGCAACGGTGGCGTCCTGCTTTCCTGACTTCCTCCGTTTCCAATGTCTGGGGGGCAGTAGCCTGGTGGGGGAAGACCCCTTCAAGAACAAGGACCACTTTCAGTTCACCAACCTCTTCCTGTGTGGGCTGTTGTCCAAAGCTAAACAGAAGCTCCTGCGGCACCTCGTGCCTGTGGCAGCCCTGAAGAGAAAGCGCAAGGTCCTGTGGGAACACCTGTTTGCCAGCCTGCGTTCCTACCTGAAGAACCTGCCCCGAGTTCAGACTAACAGCTTCAACCAGGTGCACGGCATGCCCACCTTCATCTGGATGCTGCGCTGTATCTACGAGACGCAGAGCGAGAAGGTGGGGAAGCTGGCGGCCAGGGGCATCTGTGCCAACTACCTCAAACTGACCTTCTGCAACGCCTGCTCGGCCGACTGCAGCGCCCTCTCCTTCGTCCTGCACCACTTCCACAAGCACCTGGCCCTCGACTTGGACAACAACAACCTCAATGACTACGGCGTGCGGGAACTGCAGCCCTGCTTCAGCCGCCTCACAGTCATCAGGTGAGGCTGCTGAGCAGCAGGTGAGGCCCAGGGGTGGGGGGAGGCCAGGCTTGTGGACACCAGAATTAGTATCGTGGATCAGGAACTCCTGGGATGCATAACCCTTGGTTTCGGAATATCCGCACCTTGTCTCTCTCAGGGTGGCAGAGGGCAAGGAGCAAAGCTTTGAAGTCAGGCAGAGCTGGATCAGCACCAGCTGAGTACCCTTGAACAAGTTGCTTAACCTCTCTGAGCCTCCGTGTCCACATCTGGCAAAAGGAGATGATAATAATCCTAGCAATTGCAGTAACAGTAACCAGCATTTATTGAGTATGGATGAAGTGCATTACAAATATTACCTATTTAATCCTCTTAACAACCCTATAACGCAGGTATTGTTATTCTTCCTGTTTTTGCAAGCGAGGAATCAGAAGCTCAGAGATGTTAGTAACTTGCTCAAGGTCACACAGCTGGAGCGTGGTAGAACCAGAATGCATAAAGTCACCTACCTTTGAAGATTGATATGAGCTCAGAGGTAGCTTGTGAAAAGTTTTGGGCACATGAAAGCTGTTACTACTGCAGAAAAAGCAGACCTGGTGCTGACTGGTATTGGTTACTTTCTACCAGCAAAGCCAGCCAGCAGCCCTGTGCTGCCAGGGAGCTCAGTAAAGAGCGCTGACTCTGGGTTGTTTTCCTGTTTGATGGTTGAGAGGAGAGAAAGGCCAGTCTACTTTCGTCTGTTAATAGTTCGTGTATAAAATAAACTTTTATGAAGCTCTACCAGGGTTTAAATTCTCCATTACTTGGCTCAGGCAATTCTCAAGAGCATTGGGGATTTGGAACTGTTTCTCAGGGGCTGTTGTACTAAGGCCAGCCTGTAAGTTGTGTGGGGATGGAGGGATGTTGGGAAATGAAGGCTGTCCTTGCTTGGAAATTGCAAGGCTTGGAGTCTAGTCTCTGCCCTCAGCGGACGGTCTGCCTCCCTCTGCAGCCTTAGGCATTTTCATACCCAGGGTCTTACTTTGCCGTCCTATAAAATGGAAATTCTGGGTCAGTGTGATGGCTGCGCCATGCTCATTTCTCCCACGTAAGGAAGGTGGAGGTAGGCAGCTCGGGGCTAGCCGGGGGTCTCCTAGGCCCACTCCTGTTTGCTGCTGTGCCGTCCTTCCTGCCTGCCTTCTATCTCCAGCCGTCCAGTCTGCATTCTAGCCACCAGGAAGAAGGGAGGGCAAAGAAGGACATATCCTGGACTTGTGAGACTTCTTAGCAACTGCTAAGGATACTTCTGCTTAGATGTCATTGGACAGAACTTGGTCACAAGTGCCCAGCTACAAATTGGGAGATTGTTTTTCTAAGAAAGCATAAATATTGGGAGCGAACAAGTACAACTTGTGTGCCAGCTGGGATAGCATACCCTGGAGGTGTAGTGTATGCACCCGCTAGGTCCCAGTGCTGAGCTGGGCACTGTGGGGGCTGGGGAGGAGGGCAGCATGTCTGACTCCATCGTTTTGATGTAACCTGAAAATCAAGGCTTTTACACATTCAGCCTTTTACTTACTACGCAGGGTGGCAATCTACAGCCTGAGGGCCAAATTCAGCCTCGAGCTTGTTTTCACAGATAAAGTTTTATTGTAACACAGCTATGTACATTCATTTACATATAGTTGGTTCACACTAGAAAACTTAATAGTTGTGGCAGAGATCACATAGCCCACAAAACCTGAAATATTTACTACCTGGCCCTTTACTAAAAAAAAACTTTGGCACTCCTGGTCTATTTCCTCACCCAATTCCTGGCCCTCACCTTATCCCTCACTCCTCACTCCCATCTGTCCCTGAGCCTTAGTCTGCCCTTCAGCCTCACCTCAATGACAGGGTAGAGGATTGAGAGGATTAGGCTGGTTTGTTGTGGGGGTTACTTTGTAATGAAAAATTGTGTTTTGCAACTTAGCTATGTTAAAATATCCTGCTTGTGTAGAGACTTCCCAGAGAAATTCCAGTACATGGCTGGCCCTTGTCCAGGAGATATTCACAGTCCCAAAGTCCCTGTCCTGCCCCCTCTTCTAGGTCTGGCCTAGTTATGTAGGTTACTGAGATGGCATTTACACTTTCCCCACACAGACCTGGCCACGCGAGCAGTCTTCTTCAACAGCAGCACACGTGACCTTTTCAGGTGGCAGGACAGGTTTACCCATGTGATTCTGAGTGGGGTGCTGTTATTTTGGGTGGGACAGTTCTTGTGAACAGTTCTTGTGGAGACTGAGTGATGCAAGTGGTTTGCGATTGGCTGCTAACCTAAAGGTTGGTGGTTTGAACGCACTCAACGGCTCCACAGTAGAAAGGCCTAACGATATGTTTCCATAAAGAATACAGCCTAAGAAAGGTGGGGTGCAGAACTCAAATTCTAGTAAAAAGACCAGACTTAATGGTCTGACTGAGACTGGAGGAACCCCAGAAAGCATGGCCCCTGGACTCTCTGTCAATCCAGAACTAAAACCATTCCCGAGGCCACCTCTTCAGACAAAGATTGGACTGGACTGTGGGACATAAAATGATACTTGTGAAGAGTGTGCTTCTTAGCTCAAGTAGATACATGAGACTGAACGGGCAGCTTCTGTCCGGAGGTGAGATGGAAAGGCAGAGAGGGTCAGGAGCTGGTTGAATGGACATGGGAAATCAGGGGTGGAAAGGAGGAGTGTGCTGTCACAGTATGGGAAGAGCAATTAGAGTCACGTAACAATGTATGTATAAATTTTTGTATGAGAGACTAACTTGAAATGTAAACTTTTACTTAAACGGCAGCAATAAACAAACAAAAAAAGAATACAGCCTAGAAAACGTTATGGAGCAGTTCTTCTCTGTAACATGTGGAGTCGCCATGAGTAGGGGGCCGACTCAACGGCAGCTAACAATAGCAACAATTCTTGTGGGGACTGTTCTGCGCACTGCAGGGCATCTGACATCACTGGCCCCACTCCCAAGAGGATGGGGTGTTCTCTCCCCAGTCACTGTAACCACTAGAAGGTACTTCCACACATTTCCAAACACTATGTCCCCCCGCTGTGTGGTGAGAAACATGTAGAAGGTCTGGCTAACCCATGTGCCACTCATAAATGCAGGGTTTAGAGGTGGTTGGTGACTTTCTCAAGTGTCCCTCATTGCCCTTGAAATAACGGGGCTGGACTGTAGACTTACCAAGGGGCTGGTGCTAGGTGGGCCTGCTGGCCCCCCAGTGGCCAGCCTCTTTCAGGGCTGCCTGGCTGGGTGTTACAGCCATTCTCACGGCAGGTGTGGATAACTGGGAAGACTTCAGGGCCTGTACGCTTCTGGATCCTCGTGGAATGAATGCTTCTTCATAATGAGCAGCAGCTCTGATTTTTACTTTTCTTTCCTGTTGTGTTTCAGACTCAGTGTGAACCAGATCACTGACAGTGGGGTGAAGGTGCTGTATGAAGAGCTGACCAAATACAAAATCCTGACGTTTTTGGGGTATGTATTTCTCAAGAATACTGGGCCCATTCCATAGCAATAATGTAGAGCAGCAGCAGGTTGCCATTTGTGTGGCTCACTGGATGGTTGAAACTGATGGCCCATGACACTGGGAAGAGCCCTGGACTGGGAGCTAAGAGTCCTGGGTTCTGCTCATGACTTGGCCAATATCCTTTATTCGAGCAAGTTGCAAAACCTTGCTGAGCCTCAGCCTCCTCACCTGTAAAACTGGCATCATAATATAGGCAAGTGATTCTTGCACAGGGATCAGTGGTGGTTCAGTGGTAGAATTCTCACCTTCCATGTGGGAGAACCAGGTTCTCTTCCTGGCCAGTGCACCTCATGTGCAGCCAGCCACCAACACATCTGTCATTGCAGGCTTGCATGTTGCTATGATGATGAACAGGTATCAGTGGAACTTTTGGACTAAGATGGACTAGGAAGAAAGTCCTGGTGATCTACTTCTGAAAAATCATCCACTGAAAACCCTAGGGGTCACAATGATCCAATCCACAACCAATCATGGGGATGGTGCAGGACTGAGCAATGTTTCATTCTGCTGTGCATGGGGTTGCCACAAGTCAAGGGCTGACCCGACAGCAGCTAACAACAACTACAGTTTTTGGACAGTAGCTGATTTCACCAGGTTATTGGCGATGAAATGAGAGAATATATGGGGAATATATTTTATAAACATTAAAACACTGTGTATTAGGTTTTACTAGCATGGGTTCCTAAACCCTTATCCAAAACCCTTGGGGGCAGACATGAATCAAAATTATGTGTCTATACTATACAGTGGGTAACATGCCCAGTGGGGTCTTTGGCAATACCCCATCTTCAAAAACTTTAATATTTCTTCAGCAAAATGTATGAATAGTCAAACCAAGTGGGATAAATAAGGACCATAAGTAGCTCACTCCAGTTGCCAAAAGAGTTACGAAAAGTTTAAGGTTTCAGAGCCTTGGGGATTTTGGAGTTTGAGATAAAGGACTGTGGCCAATGCAACCAGCTGCACAGCCACTATTGATTGTGTAAACTGGAACTGGCCGTTCAGCTTGTTTGGGCCTCAGCTTTAAAATGAGGACATTTAAAATGAAGCAAATGATCCAGGTCCCAAAGGAAATGAACAGACACTTCACCAAAGAAGACATTCAAGCAGCCAACAGACACATGTGGAAATGCTCGCGATCACTAGCCATTAGAGAAACGCAAATTGAAACCACAGTGAGATACCATCTCACCCTGGCATTACTGTCACAAATCAAAAACACTGGAAATAACAAATGTTGGAGAGGCTGCAGGGAGACCGGAACTCTTATGCACTGCTGGTGGGAATGCAAAATGATAACAACCATTTTGGAAAATGATATGGCGCTTCCTTAGAAAGCTAGAAATAGAGATACCATACCATCCAGCAATCCCACTCCTAGGAATATATCCTACAGAAGTGAGAGCCATCACACGAATAGACATATGCACACCCATGTTCATGGCAGCATTGTTCACAATAGCAAAAAGATGGAAACAACCTAGATGCCCATCAACAGATGAATGGATAAACAAACTATGGTACATAC